ACACACACATACACACACACACACACACACGCTCAAGAACCTTTCTTGATCCCAGTGTGAATGTGTAAGCAACTAGATAAAGGCTTAGTATGAACAAGTGTCTCCTTTTATCAACTATCCTTGAAGAAGTATCTTCTACATATTCATGCATGTGCATACACATAAAGACCAATCTTGGGAGACAGGCAGCAGCTGTTTTGAGTTTTCAAAAAGATGCTTCATACCTTTGCATCTCAGATCAAAGGGTGTTTGCAAAGCACCTGATTATACAATCTATACTGGACTAGAAGGCAGCAAATATAAATATTATTCCACGACAAAGATATCTCTGCATCTTTTTATAGCACGGTAGACTTCATAACTTACTTCATCTAGTGGTTCCACATCTGTTTTTTTCATTTTAATAAGAACTTCATATGCTTGCTGCAGCGCTCTGACTTTGGGATGTGAAAGTCTAACATAGGCTGGGAGACAAATAAACCATAAGCTGTAACAATGACTGAAAAGGAATTTGGCCCACTGTGGGCAGTTTCCGTAGCATCTCTTGGCTAGTTTATGAGCTGCTTTTATTTCCTGCAAAAAAAGAAAAGAAAAGAAGAGTAAAAATAGACACATCTTAAAAGGAATTTAAGGAGTGTCAGATAACAGGCTCTTTTAACAGCATGAAATGTGGAAAAGAAGAACGTGCATTTCTACTTATTATATCATTCCTCCCTCCCAAACTTATTTCAACTCTGGATGTATCTTAAAAATAAAAATAACCTGCTTGGTCCTCTTTGCCATAAGTGCTGGACTATTTGAAATGTTGCTTTTAGCTGGGTGCCTCTTGAAGGCAAGTTTGAGATCTTGTGGTCTGTCAAAGAGCTTAAGCTCTAACTTAGGGAAGGTCTTGTAGCTGGAAAAGAAAATCAAAATTGTATAACACTGTCTTCCATCCATAATAGGATAATAAAATGAATTTCAGGTCCACCAATTCTAAACAAAAGTCCCTTGAAAATTGAGACGATGCTGAAAGGAAAGGATGCTTATTCCAAAATGAAAAGAACAAAAATGGAACAGCTTTAAGCAATTTGATGCATTACTTCAAAAGGTTCAACTGCACAATATTGCCTTATGGAACTATTTTTCTTATGAAAGAATTTGAGGGAATCAATATTTTTCACGTATCAAAATAATTTCTGAAATCATTCTGATACCCAAAGGACCCCCAATTTAATTATTATTTGGAACAGGTAACTAAGAAACAATGAGTAACTTCCATGCTAGAGTACATTGTCAAGGAAGTTATTAAAAATAGCAGAATATGGTCTATAAAGTGTTTCAAATTTGTACTAAATTTGAACCACTCCAATTCAAGAGGAAAATCTTTTTTCAGTGTTCTGAGTTAAAAAAAATGTTTTCAACTCAAAGCCAAGGTGTTTCAAACTGAAAGACTTCCAAAATACTAATCAAAAGCAAATTCTCCATGGAAAAAAGAACATTTCAAATTTTAAGTTATTCAAAATTCCACATGTTTTGTGTACCCCTGCTGAGCATGATGGCTAAAAAATTATTCTCTAGATTCAATGTTTAGAAGAAATTAAAATTCAAAGTAACGGTAATTTTAGTAAGATGAACTTTTAGTATAATGGGCACTCTTGATAAAAGATCCTTGTCTGATCTTTTAATCTCCAGAACCACATTTTCCAAAGATTCCTACCTACCATGACCACCTCCCCAAACCCATCTCAATTAGGAAAGGCTGGATGGAAATAAAAAGAAGTCTATCCAAATGCCATTAAGAGAATACCTATACTTTGGTAATCTTTCCTGTCCATCGTCTGGGGGTGGTTCTGGTGGCATTATAAATACTGTATGTTCACTCTTCTGAGATTCATCAAATTCAATTAACCGGATATCCTCTGCTGAGTCGACATCAACCTGCAAATACATCACACTTTAATATCACGATGCTATTTCAAAGCCTTAAGGATGCAACTGGAAGCACAGAGCGTGATGTAGAAAAAAAGGCAGAAGAAGCTATGACTATGTACACATCTTGCAGCTGTTTGCCACTAGCACTGCTAAAAGATCCACAAAACACTAATATAACAGCCATTCAATTTTCAAGTAGCAGATCTAGAAAAAAAGATATATTAAGATTCCCAGACATCTATTTGATCAATCACATCCTCCATTTCCATCTTATTACCATACATGCTTAATTATCAGCAAATTCTTGTCCCATGAGAAGTAAATAAATACCTTATCTCCTTTTTCTGATCCTTTCTCAGGAAAAAGCTAAAATAAATATTAGAAATAAATACTTAATTTTTGTAAATAAAACACAATGTTTTGCTATTATGTATAGCGTAAATTTTTAAATTTTCTTGCCTAATAGAAGCCCTGAACAAATCTAATGTGGATAACACTAGAACATTTCCAAGATAAAACACAACACGCAGTTATCATAAAAACTCAATCACACAGTGTTTAAAGAGTTAAAATGCTGCTCCCCAAAAATAGTCATGCACCAAATTTAAAGCGAAATGATATATTTACCCAATAAATATCTTTACCTTTTCTACACAGTCATCAAAAAATGCTAATCCTGTATCTTTGTCACTCACAAAACTGCATTCTTCAATGAAGCGGCTAAAAATCTGGGTCTTTGTTAAAGCTGTATAGAATTTTGTGTAGGCACGGTCTCTACTTTTTAAAAATCCTAGCACATAGAAAGGAAGGAAAGAAGATAGCCATACATTACAATTACAATTATCTCATCTTTCTGTTTATTCATCTCCTATAACACTGAGCAATATGGACACTCTGGGTCCACACCTATTTATCGAGAAGACCCTACACAATGCTTTCAGTATATATCCTGCTCTTATGATATAACACCAAGAGCCAGTATTTTTAATAACATAAACATGATAGCCAGATGAGTCGGGGTTTTTTTAAAAAAAGTTCCACTTCAGAGTTTTCACACGCAACATCTCTTTAGTATCTGCATTGTATTACTGATAGTTTTTGAACTTGATCCACTTGAAAAAATTGGAGCTCTTAAAAGCTCTTTACAGAATTGGGAGATCGTGCATTTTTCTTCAGAACTCCAGCTGATGGAATCACTTTATGTGACTCAAGAGCAAATCTAATCCCACACCTTCTATAATATATAATTTAGCATTTTAGACAAGCAAAGACAATCCCTTAGCTTTAACATTTTATGCTCAATTTAACAAGACAGAACAGATGACAGAGAGGGAATTATCTGCCAGTGTTCACAGGTCCGTCATTCCCCCCCCCCCCCCCAACAATTCTCCAGTGTGTCTGCCCATCACACAAAATTGGACTGTGGACCTATTTTGGATTCGCTCTATCAAACAAGATCATCTAATGGCACTGAGGAGATGTGCCTTCTGTGTTGCACTGCCTGCCCTGAATGCCAGCAAAGCTCATACTCTATTCTATTCTAGTCTTTATTCTATTGCATACAAAGAAGAAACTGGCAAGCTGAGAAGTCTAGTATGAAGTTCGACCAGTATTTTATTTGAAAACCACCATTTATTTCTGCTGATCTCCCAATCTTACCTTGAAGGTCAAACAGGGAATCCACAGCAGTAGTTTTATTTGAAGGTGCTTGTGTGATTGGCTTAAGAAAAATTCGATACCCTTTTAAGATATAGGCCATAAAACGCAGGAAAGCTTCCTGAATCTCCATTTCGAACTGCGTCATCTTTTTCTGCCAGGAGAAATCTGCCTCTATCGGCTTCATCTCAACGGCAGAGCCTTCTTGGGTCTTTCTGTGAACTGTATTAGAGTGGAATAAGGCATACAAAATTAAAGAGACTTAAATACTTAATTAAATGAATGTAGTCAAATGAATGTCACCAAAGAGACATTACAGAAGCAATGTTTGAAAAATAATGAACTTGGAGAAGCCCAGGTGGTGCAGTGGTTAGAATACAGTATTGCTAGCTGACTCTGCACACAGCCTAGAGTTCGATCCTGACCAGCTCAAGGTTGAATCAGCCTTCCATCCTTCCAAGGTCAGTAAAATGAGGACCCAGACTGCTGGGGACAATATGCTGATATTGTAAACCAACCTGAAAATGCTGTAAAGTGCTATGGGATAGTATATAAGTCTAAGTGCTATTGCTATTACTATTTCTATACTCTCAAAAGTATGCTTTGAAATCTTATGATTTCTACTACTGTACTAGGTATTTCAACTTCATAAAGTCTGTGGTATATAACTCATTATACTCTACCTGTGATCTGTAGAAATAACGGTGTTTAGTAAAACAGCATGGTTGAGTCATATTAAATCTTGTCACTGTTCTTCAAAAATTGAGCTTTTTATATTTATTAAATTTGTATTTTGCATTAACATAGAAAAAAATAGAAGAAAAACAAATAAAACAAAAACAAAAACAAAGAAAAGAAAAATTGAAATCTTTATCAGATGTATTAAAAATGACTTTACAGAAATATAAAACTGGATGGGATTGAGCCAAAATTGTTATTTCATACTACCTGGCTTTCTCATTGACTTTGCTTGTGGGAAGCTGGCTTTGCTTATGGGAAGGTCACAGGGAAAGTCACAAATGATGATCATGTGATCACAGGTTGCTGCAACCATCAGTTTATTAAATCAGCAGTTTAATAAATTAGCAGGTTACTTAGTTAACTGGAATAAAATTCATACGCTTCCTATAATTTCAATGAAAAATTTTAAAAATGGTTTTTTTCTGGTGTTTGAATTGTTTTAACTATCTTGGAATAATTTTAAAAAAAAGAGTCTATGGGTGTCAACATTTTAAATTGCATATCTCTGCCTCTATCCATGTATTCAAACAATATGTGGGAAAACAAACAGTTCAGCTGAATTTTTTTCTTTTCCAAAGATTAGTTCTTTTTAATCTCTTATTTGTTTTACCTAAGGCAAGTTGTGGGTGCAATTTCCTTAATGTTCCAAGAAGGCTTTTGCAAGGCTTCTTAGGGAGCAGTTTCCAGTTCATATTCTTCTTATCATCTGATCTATACAGCAGAAACAAAGGTACATATGTCAAAATGAGTAATATATAAAAAATGGAACACTCGGCTTTTATTGCTTCCTGATACTGAAACAAGAATAAGAACAGGCATTTACATTCTCCTGATAATATTCCAAAACTCTTTTCATTGTTTTAATGCCAAATGACTTGAATCAACTTTGGGGCTTCTCTGGTAAGCATTAAGAGTCCTCTTAGTTAAATTTAGATTTCATTCCAAAACTACACCAACTTTTCTTTGAGTATTTTTATTTAGATACGTTATTTCAATGTACAGTATCTAAATAAAAGTTTATCTTGAGATATGATTGCATTTGCAGCATTATTTTGACAAAGAATTTTTGGCCTCCTATTTCCGAGCTTGAAATTGTATCTGGTAACACGCAATATTATATTTTTATCAAGTGTTTAGAGCAGGGGTCATCAAACTTGACAGCTTTAAGACTTGTGGAAACTCCCAGAATTCCTCCATGGTCATTTTAGCTCAGGAATTCTGGGAGTTGAAGTCCACAAGTTTGAAGATCCTTGGTTTAGAGTTATAGTCAATGCTGAATGTAAATGCTGCCTGTATAGAAAAACTGACTCCAATATTAATTTTTCATGTACAGGCACTGAATCTTGACAAAACATTTTAAACCTGAAATATTCAGGATGAACAAAGATGAATCAGTATATTATGCAAGTTAATTTTGCACTGTATGCAAAAAAAATGTTGTATGCTGAAAGAAAACTGCAGAGAATGACTCAAAATTGAAAAATCATGTTTACATCAGGACTTTTATTCATGATTCTGTATTGTAATTGCTTAGGTCAGTAAAATATAAAGTTTCATTCAGATATAGAAGTCTCATTCAGCTTTGCTTCAGTTCTTCAGCACATGAGAAAGAAAACAAGAGAAAGGGGGGGAAATAATATTGAATCATTCTGCATAATTTCTTACATAAATCAGGAGTAGTCACCCTGCAATCGCTATGGCTCATGTTGAGATTTAAGTAGTTCAACATAATTTTCAAAAGTATGTGAGTTGAGAGTGAGAGAGTTAAAAATTCAACACTCATTGTAAGCCAACTTACAACTCACTTGGTCATTAAATTAAACAGATCTAAATATGAGAAATGGCCTTGTTCAAGTCAATAGCACAATTAGCTATCAAGATTTTGTACAAAACCATGCTAAAAGGAGACTAGGATTAAGACTACAAGACTTCTAGAATTCAAACATACAGTTGAATTCTTGTACATAAATAGTATAGCGTTATCCAAATATATTTGATTCTGAAATTTATTTTTCTTAGAGCATTTTCAAAAATCCAAGGCATGAAAGTCTAACAGCACAAAACCTTAAAACACACCATAAAGCAAAACATTCCCAGTTCAAAATTCATCCTTACCAATGAATTAAGCTGCTTAGGCAAATCAGTATCAGTCACTCTACTACAGAAATGATAAAAGTATTTAGGAATAAACCAATACTGCTTTATTAATTGATAGGAGTTGAAATGGATTCAAACGAACTTTCTCCTTCCAAAAACATAGTTATATAACTCAAATCTCAGTATATCAATTCAGATTTTTGTGCTGGATTTCAGTAATTATTCACAGAATACCTCTTGTATAAATGTATTTTGAAAAATATATTATTCCATACAATATTGTAATTTTAATTTTCCGTATTAAACTCCAAAGTAAACAAACATATTGTATGTTTTACATGCTCCTTTTTATGAAACCAGTTTCTGAATTGACAGAACTTTACTTCTCCTTTTAACAATTTTCTGAGATGGAAAAAACAGCATATTATTTCACAAGGAAGAATAAGGTTCAAAACAGCTATTACCATAAACTCTGTAATTTTAGCTTCTATAAATAGCCTATTATCTTTTAATTCTATTTTACAATTTGCTGATTCTATCCTGCAATCTATTATAGTGTAAAGTATATTTTATTCAGAGGATTTTGTTGAAAAATGACTTCATTTGTAAGCAATGCTAATTGTAGTTTATTGCAAGAGCTGGCAAACTGTCTTGCTACCAAATATCAAACAAATTCAAAACAATATCAAATACAATTTCAACTAAGAACACCAACATTTCATGAAATGAGTGTCATTTCATGCAATTTGTTAACTCTAAATCAGTTCATAGTTCTTATGTATTCTACATTATTATTATCTACATTATTATTATCTACATTATTATTATTTGCAATAATAATAATAATAATAATAATAATAATAATAATAATAATAATAA